CATGCAGACTCCCTTCTCTACCCGGTGGTCGGTTACCGGATAGTAACAGCCGGATAATAGCCGGTTCAAGAATCACTGGAACGTTGTTCGGATATCGAAAAGGGCGTGTTAGTCTTTCCATTCAAGAAAACCCTAGGAGTCTTCCTACCGTTGTTGTTGAACTTGCTTTGCAAACAAATGTTTTGCAGAAGGAAATGAATCTAGGCATGGTGAGTTTTTTTTTTCTTTAATATCATTTTTTCTGTCTCAATTTATGTGAAACGGTTCGAAAAAAAATATCGAAATATTTTTCATTTCAATGTATATATATGTTTTAGGGTAATTAAAGAGACGTTATATTGTTTTCCATTTATGTTTGGAAACATTTTCATATTCCTTAATATTTTAGCTTTAAATTTTGAAATAAAATTTATATATTTGAAAACCACAGGCGTAAAGAGCAAAAGTATTGTTACTAAATTATAAAAAGTATTTGTAAAAATCATAAGCGAAAAAAAATGTTTGACTTTTGAAAGAGTAATAGTATTAAATATTACATAATTATGATAAAAAGAAGTCTTGTATATATTGACATACTATATATGGAATCTTTTAAGTCAAAGGTTAATCAGAAATAACCTCTTTTACTTTAAAGTCTGCGGACACACATGCTCTTTAAACCCCACTTATGACACTATATTTTTGTTATATGACTCAATTGTTTCAATTTGTGTGTTTACTTATTTATATAATTGACTTTAGTGAAATTCTAATTCCTCCTGTACTGATCGAGTCACGACTTCTATTATTGATTAGGTAAGGATTGCATTAGAATGTGAGAAAAGGGACAAAAAGGAGAAGATAAATCTTCTTGAAGAACCATTATGGACAATGTATTGTAATGGTAAAAAAAATGGTTATGGTGTTAAAAGAGAATCCACAGAAGAAGATCTTAATGTGATGGAGATTCTTAAACCGGTGTCGATGGGCGCCGGAGTTTTGCCCGGAAAATCTGACGTGGAAGGACCGGACGGTGAGATGACATACATGAGGGCACATTTTGAACGTGTGGTTAAATCAAAGGATGCTGAAACCCTATATATGTTGAGTCCAGATGCAAATGATGGACCTGAATTGAGTATTTTCTTTGTAAGAATATAATTAATCATAATTATACAATGATCTTTGGGTCTTTTTTATTGTTATTATTACTACTAATTAGTTGGATGGATCCCTCTAATATATTATTAGGGAGGGAAATTTAATTTAGAGTTTAACTTATATATACATATTGTTATGTAATTTTTTTTATACTCATTTGGGGCGGGGACGGGGCAAAGCTAGCTATATGTTTACTTATAATTTGGTAGATTGATCAGTATTTTTGGTTCAAATCCTCATTATATTTGTGTTAAGAAATGAACTTAATACGTATAAATATAATTTATACAGAACTTTCGTGATTAAAGTGCATGTTTTTGAATCTAGAATCTATAAAACTCAAATAGATGCTTTCAGCAGTTATCCGTTCCACACATGGCTACCCAGCATTACCGTGGGCATGATAACTGGTACACTAGAGGTGCATCCTTACTGGTCCTCTCGTACTAGGGAAAGGTCCTCTCAATGATCTAACGCCCGCACCGGATATTTTAGTTTCATCCTTACATATCATTAAGTTAATATCTACTAGTAAACCTCTTTAAAATGTCTCACTTCTAGTTTTTAATAATTTATGTCCCCTCTGTGTTTTAGGTTTTTGGTTATTAATTTACGAGGTAGGTCCTATTAGTTTAAACTGTTTGTCATCTTAAAGCGGAAATTAAACTTTCACTAATAAAGTGAAAACTTTAGATACTACTAAGAGAAACGGCTTAACTAAAAATATATACCCACACAAAAAATGTATGTATACATGTCATTACAAGTCTAGACTAGCCTAGAATATATACATATAGACTCCTGTTCAGTATTGCTTCTCGCTTAGAATCTCTTTCAGCTGAGTTGCACTAACAAACTTAGGTGAAGTACAGATAATGTAAGTGACTACATGCGAAAGCTTTTGCTTCTTCTTATCAATTACGATGGTCAATGAGATGAGTGGTCACCTTATAAAGTTTGGACAAGTCTCCTCCTTTTGAACTAGCTTTTTGATTGTAAGTTAAGCTCAACTCCTAATTTTACATGGTATCATAGTAGAATCAATCTCACTCGATATTAAGCCCCTAAATTAATTTTTTGATCATGCTCTAGATGTTCAGCACTTGACGTAATGGGGGTGTTGACCAATGATTAAAAATTAAGTCTCACATCGATTTAGTTAATGAGATATGTAATCTCCTTAATTTTTAAGATTCGAACAATCCTCCTTTTTAGCAAACACATCTGTCACCTGTCACCGCATTGTGGATATATGAATCATCGATGAAATTAGCATATAAGGAATTATTTCCGTGCAATAATGTAAAGGAATTATTTCCAATCGAAATCATCACACGTAAGATATGCAATATTACCAACATGGATTGTGGTGCACTGGTGGGAGTGCTTCACCCTTAATCAGAGATCTCGAGTTCAAGCCCTGGTTATGAAGAAAATTCTATTGGGAGTGCCACCCCCGAATGGGCCATGCAGTGCGCGATCCGAATTTAGTTAAAGCTTTAATGTGGACTCCAGACACCGGGTGGGAAACCAAAAAAAAAAAGATATGCAGTATTTATGTGGTCATAATTGTACAAAAAGAAAAGTTATGTGGTCCTAATTTTACCCAAATAAAGTTGTGTGGTCCTAATTAATTGCTTCTTTTTTTGCATTATTACAAGTTTTCTGACTCAAAAGTATTTTTTTTACGAACTGTCAAAATCTTCTTTTATGTTATCATCTTATCTTGATAGAGAGTTAAAAAAAGGTGTATTTTTTCCGTATTAATTTATATAATATGATATAATTTGACATATAAATTTTAAAATTAAATTATTTCAAATGATAGAAATGTAACATTTTTATTGAGATAGATTAAAAAGAGAATTAAATATATTATATAAATTAAGACAAAGAGAATAACGTTTATAACGAAATAAAATGTCCTTAAGAATAATCTTCATTTAGAGTTGAAGTTTTATGCTTGATTGTATAAAAATATTTATATAATTAGGTCACAAATAAAATAATTACAAGTATTAATAACATTTTTTATTTTCAAGTTAATTATTGGTAATTTTTTATCTTTTAGCCAATTTAGATCTATTGTTCCCTCAATGATCGTAGTATCTAAGTAATTTCTGACAAACTCTAATATGATTCGATTTATAAGGATCAAATTTTTTTAGACCTTAAACCTCCATTTCTCGTATTCGTTGTTTCCTCTATTTGTCTCTACCTCTAAAGGGTTGTTGTATAACAAGTGCATAATATCCATAAATTTTATCATCCACTTGATGAATTGATTTCAAGATATAATTTTTTTTATTACAATGGGTTGTTCAAAAGTGTTCTCTGTCCTTCCATTAAATATTTTACTTTTTCTGGATTGATATTCAGGTTCAAATATCCATGAATTTGATATTTGTTTATTGACTTTGCACTTTACGGACAATTCAAATCAAAGCAATTGGATATTTAAATATTTTAGTTCTAAAAAAATATTTTATACAATTTTTTTTTAAAAAAAATTGCATTAAAATTGTCTCATTTAAAACGTGGAAAGGATATTGTTTCCAACTCATAAAAGTTAAGAGGGTAAAGTAGAATATAGTCAATTTGATTATGATATACACATCGACTTTCCACATTGAAGTTGGACCCATGAAAAATGATATACAATTTCACTAGTAAAACAGATTTCCATGCGATGGGAACAAAAATCGAGAAAAGGTCAGATATATTCGTAACTTTGTTATTTAGAATTGATATACTTTTTGTTATAAAAATGGAACATATACCTTTAGTGTCACACAAATAATTCACATATTCCATTTTTCTCTAACAAATGTGAAAAAATCAATTTTATCCTTCTCACATGTATTCTTTTGAGCTTCTTTGATTTTAATGCTAATTTGAATTTATTATTTTGATGGTCAAATTCATTTTTCATTAACTTTCTTATAAAATTTATCATTTATGCCCGAATTTTTTTTAAAGATACAAAAAATAAAATACAATATAGCCAGAAAAAATAGTTTAAAATTTTTGGTTATTTTTTTTTCTTTTCCCATTCATACTTTTTTATTATTTTATTTCTCATATATTTACACTAAAGAATGTTGCGAGTTTGAGTTACCGAGGGAGCTAAAATGGTGGGACCTCCTGGAAGGGGTAACAAAAAACAATGAAAGAGAAAAATAAAATAAGAATAAGAGACTCAAATAATGATAATCAAATTAAAGAAGTAAAAAAAATCATATTTGAAAGGATCATATATACCCTACATGAATTTATTTAAAATTAAAATTAAAAATAAAATTTTAAATTAATTTTTCACTTCGGACGTTAGATAAGAAGTTATATGTGAGCTACTTTTGTAACGGTACGGATATATGTGAATTATTTTTTATAACTGGTAAAGGTAGATGTGAACCACTTTTATAATGATGAGTATATCAAGTCTAAATGACAAAGTTGAAGAGTATATCAAATCATTTTTCCATAAAAATATGCATTCTAATTAATTAGAGGTTAAATATTTAATCAGATATCATAAGAATTAAAAACAATTTCCCAATAATGTAAAGACCAAAATTGTGCTTATGCCTGATTTAGTATTAATATGATTCAAATGATAACTAATTTACTCTTCACAAGTTAAAATTAATAAACATTAAATTTTTACACAATTAATATATGTAACTTAAGTAATATGTCGTGTAAGTATAAGAAACTCTTCCAAATAGGATCTACGTGTAAATTCAGATTAGTCACATTTTAATGTGAATATATATTACACATTGGATGAAAAATTGAAAAACAAAAAGAATATCAACTTTTTAAAATTAAATTTGATATTTAGTTTAACTCGATTTTCCATGAACACCCCTAGTGATGAGTATATAAAGCTCAGCTCTGAAGAGTTGAAATAAACGAAGAAAACCATGGAGACTCCTTCATATGATATCAAAAACAAAGGTATCATTTCTTTATATGCCTAAGTATTTATTTATTTATTTATTTTGTAACTGAATTTTTATATTAAAATGATCACCAAGTGAGAGTTTAACAAGAATCATCTTAAAGAAAAAAATATTATTTATTAATCATTGTATTATCCTCCAGGAGATGATATGCAAGAAGAACTAAAGGTGAAACTTCACCATGAGAAGGTAACTTTAATTTCTCCTATTTCTTTTTCAACTTTTTTATTTATTATTTTTGTAAAAAAATAAAATTGATATTATACTGTTCATATGGTCTCATTATCTAATAAATAATGTGTGTGAATCACCATGTTATTTATGTTAGACTTAATAGATCAATAACTTTCTTAGTAAATTTTATTTAGTCATTTAGATTATGGATTTGTTTTAATTGTGCACTTTCAAACATGATAAAGTATTCATGTTAGACACTTTCAGTTCAAATTTTGAAAATTTTTTGTATGTGCTCTTAAACGTTTACTAGGTAGTTAAGTTAACTACATAAAATATGTCATCTCATTTGATTATATACATCAGTCTCAATTGGAACATACTTGAGATTTTACGATTTATCAATACTAATGTGTATAGTTAAAGAAAGTGACACATTTCAAGTGGTTAGCTTTTCTATATAATTGACATTTGAAAATACACGTAAGAGTTTTTCAAATTTAATTAGATCAATATTAAATAAAAATATTTTATTGTATGTTCAATTGAAACAACCCGTAGTCGAGTGTTCAAATAAAATTGAATGACAATTAGTATAAGGAACTATCGATATATTAAGCATTTATGTTGTAAATCTCTCTTATATTAGTGGAGTCATGGAAAGTAAATTTTAAATTATATAAATGATGGGTCAAATACGAGTGAGACGGCGTACACATCATTGTTTGTATTTGTAAAATTCCCTTGGTTAATTTGTTGTTGTATGGATCAAGTTGAACAAATTGGGTTATGATTCATTAATTAGCTCTTCTTAATTCAACCTATTTATGGGTATAATTAAATAATGATTCGATTCAAATTTTTTTGACTCATCTGAAATCATTCAATCAATTTATTTATCACCTTTATTTACGACTCATTTGAAATGATGGTTTTTATACTCTGTATATAATTTGCTCAGATATTCTTTTTTAATTTTTTTATATTTTGTGTTTAATTGAACTTATTAATTATAATTGAAGGATATTGAATTTTTTTTTCCATCAAAATTTACAGGGAGGAGATGAAAAAGAAAAAATAATTGAAAAGGAGACTCCATCCCAAGATATCAAGAACAAAGATACCATCACTTCATATGTTTTAAGTATTTAATTTTCTTCTTTTTTTCATCTTTTTTTTCTTCTTATCTTCTTATTTTAATCATGTTAAAGAAGTTAATATTATTGTATTTTTTGTAACTTTATAATATTATCCACCAGGAGATGATGCACCAGAAATACCAAAGGTGGAACATGAGGAGGTAACTATATATTTCAATTTATTTACTAATAAGATTAAATAATAACTTATTTGTTGATTAATCAATTTATTTTAATCCGTTCGAAATCACTTGCCCCATTTATCCACCCTCCCCCCTCACACACTTAAAATGATAGTTTTGATGCTTTATATATATATATATATATATATATATTCTTTTTTAAAAATTTAAACTTTTATGTTTAGTCAAATATGATCAATAAAATTAGACAGTGGAAATATTATTTATTATTGAAGGATATTACAGGGAGGAGATGGAAAAGAGAAAATAGTTGAAAAAGAGACTATATCCAAATGTATCATCAAGATTGAAGGTATAATCTATTTATATGTCTAAATATTTGATTTTCTTCTTATTTTTCAGTTTTTTTAGTATAGATTTTTTTTCTTTTTGTGAATCATTTTCAAGAAGTTAATATTAAATTTGGTAACTTTAATTATGATATTTAATATTCAGGAGATGATGCACAAGAAAAACTAAAGGTGGAATATGAGGAGGTGCCTTAATTTCTTCTTTTGACTTTTTATTTATTATTTTTTGTATATTTTACTGTCTGTTTATTTCATGTTCACAAATTATATATATGTTATATTCAAAATAAACATGCTCTGAAATCTAATAATGATTTTGAAATTGCTCTCTGAGTTTTTCTTTATTTTGAATTTTAATTCCCTCTCATTTCTTTGCATTTGCACTCACTTTAAGAAACTGTTAATTAGAGTATTTATTTTAGTAAAAATAATTCATGTTAATAACTTTAGCAATCTAATTATTTCTTTACTACTACATCAATTCTTCTGAAAAATAGCTATTTAATGATAAACATAAAATTAAATCTCATCCAATTTTTGGATAGAATCGAACAATTACTCATTTATTAATTCAGACTATATTTTGACGCATTCAAATTCAATTTAATCAGCTCATTTATCACTTTATACACCATTTATCTAAAGCGATAATTGTCCATATTTGTAATTTGCAACATGTCATATATCTTTTTAAAAATTTCTAAAATTTTCTGTCTGATTTCTTATTAAAGGATATTTCTTTATTTATCTTCAAAATTACAGGAAGAATATGAAAAAGAGAAAATAGTTGAAAAAGGGAGTCCATCCCAAGATATCAACAACAAAGGTATCATCTCTTCATATGCCTAAGATTTATTTTTCTTCTTATTTTTTATCTTCTTTTTATATATTTACTTTAGTATGAAACTTTTTTTTCAAAAAAAAGAAAAGAAAAATCATCTTAAATGAAATAGTATTATTTTTGGGTAACTTAAATCATTGACTTTATTCTCCAGGAGATGATCCACAAGAAAAACCAATGGTGGAACATGAGGTAACTATATATATTTTTCTTCCTGTTTATTACATAATCACATTTATTTTTACGTAGATATGTAATTTAGTGTAATTTTACAAGTGGAGTTTAAAGAGGATGAAATATACACAATCTTATCTTTATCTTGTGGAGTTATCAAGACTGTTTCCAAATAGATCCTCAGTTTGAGTAAAACTAAAACATATCATAAATCCAGCATGTAAAGCAAATACAGTAATAAAGAAGTCATGTTGAAAACAAAACATTGATTCTGTGACGTGAGGGGAAATGTCAAGAGCTCCATCAATTTGTTATCTCGTGTCATATGCAACATCCTTCTTCCTTCTCGCGAAGCACGGGAGCGCATAGCACCCAGTTCAACATGTAATGTCCGATAATAAAGCTAAAATAGTGAATCTATCAGTACCATAACAATAGTATAGAACTTTGAACCTAATGACCATCCAAGTAATCTTCCAAAATGAAGGATCCCCATTAGCAACAAAATTTTGTGTCTAACTAATATACAATAACAATAATATATCTGGTGTAATTTACGAGTGAAGGTAGGTTTGAAGTTAAACATAATCAATAAAATTGGACAAAGGAGATATTATTTATTATTGAAGGATATTGATCTTTTTTTTCCTTCAAAATTTACAGGAAGGAGATGAAAAAGAGACTCCATCCCAAGATATCATCAAGATAGAAGGTATCAATCTATTTATATTTCTTATAAGTATTTTCTTCTTACAATTTTTCATTTCCTTTGATATATATGAACTTTTTTTTTAATCATCTTTAAAAAAGTTAATACTTATTTTTGTGTAACTATAATCATGATATTATATTCCAGGGGAGGGTGCACAAGAAATAACAAAGGTGGTATGTGAGGTAGCTGAATTTCTTCTTCGAATTTTTCTATATATTATGTTTGTATTATTTTTTTTTGGGTTCATCCGAACTTTCTTCGACAGAAAATCTTGCTATCTATATATGGTTAAAATTGTATTGAGTTAATAGTAGAAAACACATTTAAACTATTTTTTTTTAGTTTCATACCTAACTATTGAAAGTGTGTCTGCCCTCATGACATCGGTTCAAAGCCAGCTAGAACCACGTTTTAAATGATTTAAAAAAAACTATTGAAAGTGTGAGAAATACACTTAAAGTCTTAAACTATCACTCATTATTTTTATTTTTTTATGTATATGCAATAGACATTGAATCCTCTTCGACTTATTCGTATGTTTACTTCCTCATATATTATATCCCTTAATAAAAATTTTAACTCCGCCACCGTATATATCTTTTGTTTTGATTTTTAATTGCATTTCATTTCTTTAGTTATAATAAGGGTCTAATACTTTATTTAATTTATAGCATGATTCTACTATATTTTGGACACTACAAGAAGCATGCAATTCAAATCTCAAACTTTTTTCAAGAAAATATTATTATTTTTTTCTAATTGTTTATTATAAAAGGATATTAATTTTCTTTTTTTCTTTCAAATACAGGAAAGAGAGAAAATTGTAGTACAAGTAGATCTTGCTGTTCATTCAACACCTCCATCAAAGCGTGATCCTCCCAAAATGCAAACAGACAATAATAAACTCTAGAATATCCAAAAAAAAAATCTAATAAATAAAAGAATTATAATTCAGAGCGATAAATTAAAAATTCTGAATTCACCGCTCATTAAAAAAGTAAGTCAAATAGATATTTGCCTTTCTATTGTATTTTCAAGTGTAATTTGGTTATTGTACTATGGGAAGCTTCTTAGATTGTTATGTAAGTTTTGGATAAAAACATATTTAAATTATCTTAATTTTTTTGAATTTTAATTTAAATTATTTTTCCACGTGGAAATTTTTTTAAATAAAAGAGAGTGTCCGGTACATGTGTGCACACCGTTAGATTAGTGTGCACACCATTAGATTTTAGTCAAGATGTGTTTGCTAATCATTATCAAATATCTAGCGACAATAACATAATTGTCAATATATATTACATGTAGATATACCCTAAACTATTCGAAAAGGTCTAGATATACCCTCCGTTTAAAGTTTGGCTCACTCATGCCCTCGCCGTCCATAAGAGCATATTTAGACCAAAAGTTGGACGGCGAGGGCATGAGTGAGCCAAACTTTAAACGGAGGGTATATCTAGACCTTTTCAAATAGTTTAGGGGCATATTTGACCCTTTACCCATAATAAATATATGTATTTATCATTATTATCTATATAAATATCGCTAAAAGCTTTAACGACTCTACTGCAATAACATTAATTCAGCTGCTTCAAATATTTTTACCAATATAAATATTATCATTAAAAAAACTATTATCTTAAATATATTTTTTATTATAATATATGTGTCCTCCTTTTTATAAGCTTAACAACAAGTAGGCGGTGCCCCTCTTTCATTGCTGTCATATCAAGAATTTTTTTTTTTACCCAATTCACCTCTACTTAGCTTAAAGTAAATTTTATAATTTATGAACGGTTAGAAAGCTTAATATAGCATTTGAATTGATTTTATGTCCTACATCAACAAATTATAACTTCAAGGCCTAATTCATCGGTGGCCCCTTAAAGTTAGCACGAAGTTTCACTTAGGCACCTCAAGTGGGAGATGTTCATTTTAGACACCTCATGTAGAGTTTCCTGTGTCATTTTGACACTCTTTTGCCAATCAACAAAAATATATGAGGTGTGTGTTACACTCGCGAATGACGTGTAAAGTGACGAATTAAATGACGACATTTGTCAAAAACAATTTGTAGATAATGAATTTTGAGTAAAAATATAAAGTAACCAATGACTCAATGACACGTGAATTTTTGCCCAAATAACTTTTTTAAAACAAATTAAATCAATAAAATCCCCACATGAAATTAAATCAATAAAATCCCCACATGACCCCCCCTCCCCCACCCCACAATTTTCTTCTCCAAAAACCCATACCCATTTGCAGAAACACCTGCCCCCCCCCCCCCCCCCCCCCCCCCCCGC